TGCGTTGCACAGCTGTGTTGCGTTGCACAGCTGTGCTGCGTTGCTCATGTTTGTGTTTGTCGGTCCAGATTTCAGCTCAGGAGCTTCGACACGCGGCGCCTGTGAGCCGGACCTGGACCTGGACCGAGAGGTAAAACCACCACCAGCTTCCTGTAAGGCAGGGTGTCCAAAGTGCGGCTCGTGGGCCGTTTGTGGCCCCCTGAAGGGTATTAAGTGGCCCAACAACACATTTGTTTTTTTATTGTTTAGAATGAGATTTTCACAGACAAAATGTTTGACACAACAATTTATTTATTAATCAAGTTTCACAAACATACGATAACCTTTCCTTGAAAGTAAATTTTCACTGAGTAAGTTGATTAATACAGGAAGTAGTTTAGAAGACGGAGTTACTCCAAAACAGAAACAATCAAACCAAAAACTTAGAAACTGTAATCCTCTCCTGTAATAGCGGAGACATCCAAGACATTTTTATGTTTTTATGTTTTAGATCCTCCTCTTCAGTTTTTGGCACAGGAAGTCGCTTCAGGAACTGGTTCTTCGCTCTTTCACTCCTGGTTTCAGTTTTTTAGCTGTTGCGTTTTGCTAACTCTGTTGCTAATTTAGCATTATTAACTACAGTAAACATGAAGGACATCAGGAGATTTTAAACTGTTGCATTCTGGGTAGAGAAAGTGACAGGAAACGGAACTGCTGCGCACAGACTTCAAAATAAGAGCATGAATATAAACTTTATTCAAATGAAAGTTTACAAAACTTCAGAATTTATCTGAAAAAAATTAATTTACATGAAGCTAAGTGAATGTTTTCAAAGTTAGCTAGAGCGCTAAGCTAAAGAAGTGCCGTTAGCGGATTAGCGGTAGTCTGTCCGTTTCTAAAACTCAGTTTATTGTTGAGTGAATTTTTCCTCTGATTTTGTCCCTGAAAGTTTGAGATTCTCATTATCCCTCCATTTACACTCATTCTCTCTCTCTCTCCCGCTCGCTCGCCCAGCCGGACTCCGACTCCACCAAACACTCGACCCCCTCTAACAGCTCCAACCCCAGCAGCCCCCCCAGCCCCAACTCCCCCCACCGCAGCCAGCTCACCCTGGACGGCCTGGAATTGGAGCCCTAAGCCCCGCCCCTTGCACACGTTAGGCCCCGCCCACCTCCAGGTCTGTTGGGGGTGGGGCTTGTCGAACAGACTGAAGACTGGGAGTTTAGCTTTTACTTTGAGGATTTTATCATGACAGAGTGAGTCTGAGGTTACTGCTGCTTTTACCTGCTGGGAAGCCCCGCCCCTTTCCCCAGTTTTACCTGGATGTACTTTACCTGCTGGGAAGCCCCGCCCCTTTCCCCAGTTTTACCTGGATGGATTTTACCTGCTGGGATGCCCCGGCCCCGGTTCGACGGCCCTGGGACCAGTCACTTCCTGTTCTTCCTCTTCTGTATTAAAAACACTTTCCATGTGTTAGCCGCTCAGACGGACGGGAGGTCTCACTCTGAGGAAAAAAAGAAAAACACTGTATTAATTATTTTAAAGTTTTGTTAAGCTTGCACATCATCATCGTTGTTGTAGGAGAAAAATAATCTTTGATTTGTAAATGATGATCTTTACTCTTCCCCCCTCACCACCTTTAATCTGACTCCGCCCCCTGGCTCCGGTTAGGTAGCAGGGGGCGGAGTCACACCTGGACACTACTGCTTTTACTTCTTCCAGAATCAGTTAAAGAATATTTGTAATGATGAAATGTTTAGCAGCCAAAAACCACAATAAAGAACCAGAGGAGAGTCTGAGTGAGTCTCACCTGCACAGGTAACGCTCCGACAGGAAATGAAACCAAACGATCAGTGAAATCCTCCATGAACCGATCCGTCAGAAACATTTCTAAATAAACTACTCTGCACCTGAAAAACGGAGGGATCAGGGAGACGGTCTAGTTAAAGTATTTACACCTGCAGGATTTCTGGAACCTGTCTGACAACACGAAGCAGGCTGGGAGACCTCAGGAGGAAACGCATCGCTCCGTTTCTAAACTTCTGGGACTAAAACTTTTATAGCTTTTATTTTCTTATTTATTACTTAAACCTTAATATAAGACCTAAAACTCAAATTATATTTCATAATTATGACTTAAAACTCATGATTACAACTTTTATCTTTGTAATTAAGACGTTAAATCTTGTAATTACGAGTTTAAAACTCATAATTACAACTTGTAGTTTGGCAATCACTACACGAGAACTTGTAGTTACGTTTTCCTGTTGGGCTTTTATTTTTTAATTCTTGGCATAAATGAGTTTCCATACTAAGCCATTCATCTTCCCAGAGAGGCCGACCCACCTCAGTTAAGGTCAGAGGTCACAATTCAACAATAAGAGAGAGAGACCGAGGAAAAATATCAAACAAAACTTTCTAAATGTGAAACGGGTGAAGAAAGTTTAGTGGAAGGAGAAAAGGTGAGGTCAGGAAATATCCCACTGCTTGTTTTAAATATCAGAACCGTCTCACCTGAACTGAACAGAACCAGAACCGAACCACTGCTCAGTTAGGATCAAAGTAAAGTTTTGATTTTGTCTGGAGAAACGACCTGAGTGAAGTTTCCACAGGAAGATGATCTGGGTCGCCATGTCGCCTGCTGGTTCTGGTTCCAGTCCACCGGGTCTACCAGAACATCTCAGAACTTCATTCTGCTGACGGGTTTTATGGAGATCCTGGATTCATGTTCACCTTCTGAACGAAAGGTGAGATAAAAGCCTGAAGCTCGTTGTGTCAGCAGCTGTCGGGCTGAGCTCCCTCTGTGCTTTTTCTGGAAAGTTGAGTGGAAGGAAAACAGTTCTAAAGCAGGATTGACTTCAATATTAAGTTCATTTCTTGGTTTAGATGACAAATCACATTTCTTAAGATTCACCAAATAACAACAAGCAGATTTATTTACAACACTTCCTGTTGTAAAAATGATAAATTCTGCTTCCTTTCATGTTTATTTTCCTGTTTTTTTTTTTTCTGTGAACTGAGAATCTGAAACTTTTCACATCATTTGGTGATTAAAACATGTTTTGCGCAAATGAAACATTTTTCTCATGAAGAGGTCGGGAGTTTTTCAAAGCGGAAATCCTGCCTTGTTGCCATGGCGACGCCGCATTTTCCCTTTGTCGGTTTCAGGTCAGGTATCAATGATTAATTTGGCCCCGAGTCGCGTCTGACAGGCGCGTTAATCATTGATGAGGTGGTTGTTTACTCAGCAGGAGGCGGCCAATCAGAGCGTGGTCTGGGACCGGAAGCGACAGGCCGGCCAATCAGAGCGGAGCGGAGAGGGAACCGGGTCAGACGGAGACTTACTAACTCAGAGCTGCTGGCAGGAAAACTGAACATAAATTATCAAATTTAAGTTTCATTGGAAACTTTGTCAGTTTTGAACTTTTCATTTTCGTCTGAACTCTATTTGACCTTTGTCAGCCGACATCCGTTCACACACACACACACACACACACACACTCCTTCTCTCACACAGTCTGTGGTTTCTGTGTGAAAAAGCAGCTGGATGTTTAATCTGCAGCGGATTTGAATAAAAACATTGCAGGTCTGCAGCGGCAGAGCAAACAGGAAACGGTTCAGCACAAGTTCAACTGACTTCTTCATCAGATAGGTGACGTCATATTATTTAGTTAAAATCATCCTGAAGTTTGTTGCAACATTTAGATTTTCATCACTTTACAAAATATTTTAATTTTTGTTCATTAAAGTTTAGTTTTATTTTGTTTAATTCAGTCTTAATTATTTTTTGTGTTTCATAATCATGACTGTAAATTACAACTTATTTTATGACTTTTAAATTCAATCACAGCTTTTATTTTGGTAATTGACTTTAAAACTTGTAATTCAGTGATTCTTGAGAACAGAGATAAAATGGGTTTTAATTTTCCCATATTTTTTAAATATTATTTCTCAACCTTATGTGTGCAAATATGAGAAATAATTTTTAGGAAATGTAAAGATGCTAAGGTCCAGGCTCCCAGTTGCAACATTTTTAAAAAAATTACAGTTTT